GATGTGGCTTTTTCTTTGCCACTCTGCCCTGAAGCCCAGAATCCCACAGCAGCTTCTCTTCACTGTAGATGTTGACACTGGTTTTTTGTGTTAACTATTTAATGAAGATGCCAGTTGGGGACTAGAGACTGACATTTTTTCGGGAATCCCACGGGTCACGGGATTCCCGTGGGATGGGAGTCAGTATTAGTAACAATCACGTGATTGGGATGGTACAGGATTAAACATTAACGGGAGCAGACCAATAGTAACTAAAAAAAACTAGGATCGATGCCAAAAAATAAAATAAAATAGAAAGAAAAAAAATCCAGTACTGGCGCCGCCATTTTGTAGTTTGCCTTGAAGCCTACACTATAATGGGAGTCAAAAAAACTACACAACCCAAAAACCAACAGTGCTTCCACTCTGAGTTTTTCACCCATGCTCAAAAACAACAAGAATGGGAGGGGTGCAGGAGCGGGAGTCATTCTGAATGGGAGTGGGAGTAATTTCACCAGGAGTGGGACGGGACAGGATTTAGATTTCTACTCTGGCCCCGGATCGGGACAGGACACAATTTTTTTCTGTGGGAGTGGGACGGGACAGGAGTGAAAATCCACTCCCCTGTCAGTCTCTATTGGGGACCTGTGAGGTGTCTGTTTCTCAAACTAGAGACTCTAATGTACTTATCTTCTTGCTCAGTTGTGCAACTTGGCCTCCCACTTCTATTTCTACTCTGTTAGAGCCTGTTTGTGCTGTCCTCTGAAGAGAGTAGTACACACCGTTGTAGGAAATCTTCAATTTCTTAGCAATTTCTCTCATGGAATAGCCTTCATTTCTAAGAACAAGCATAGACTGTCGAGTTTTAGATGAAAGTTATCTTTTTCTGGCCATTTTGAGCGTTTAATTTACCCCACAAATGTGATGTTTCAGAAACTCAATCTGCTCAAAGGAAGGTCAGTTTTGTAGCTTCTTTAACGAGCTAAACTGTTTTCAGATGTGTGAACATGATTGCACAAGGGTTTTCTAATCATCAATTAGCCTTCTGAGCCAATGAGCAAACACATTGTACCATTAGAACACTGGAGTGATAGTTGATGGAAATGGGCCTCTATACACCTATGTAGATATTGCACCAAAAAGCAGACATTTGCAGCTAGAATAGTCATTTACCACATTAGCAATGTATAGAGTGTATTTCTTTAATGTTAAGACTAGTTTAAAGTTATCTTCATTGAAAAGTACAGTGCTTTTCCTTCAAAAATAAGGACATTTCAATGTGACCCCAAACTTTTGAACGGTAGCGTACATAAACACGTTGGAACCAGTTATATCTGAAGAAATAGTTTTATAATTTTTTTTTAAAATAAAGCATTTATAGAGCTTTATTTATATAAAAAATAATAAAGCCACTATAACCACATTTAATGAATTGTAATGCCAATTAAGGCCTTAATTTAAAAAATAATAATTTAAGGACTTTTAATGATTTTTAATGACCCGCAGAAACCCTGTATCATGTTGCAAGGGGGGAAAAAGTTTTAGCAGTTTAACATGCCAGTAGTTATGGAAGTCATTTTACTCAATTTCAAGGCTCAGTCTGAATTAAGGTTAATTCAGAAAAACAATTTTCTTTATTAAATTTCTTAAAGATAAAGCAGTTGTTCGGGTTCAGGTGTTCCCAGGTGGCCATTTTGAATATTTGTAATAGGCATTGCTTCTGGTCAGCCCTGAACAAGTTTTACACAAATATTACACATTAGTAAATGTACGAGGATGCAAGCAGAGAGTATAGGAACACAGTTTATTCCAATTGAACACATTTAAAGGAGAAGGCTATGTAAAAATCATCGTTTTTCATGTTTGAATGAGGTTCAGGCAACAATGGTTGAAATGAAACATACAAAAAGAGAAATATGGCTAAAATACTGTAAATTAATATCCATTTCCACCCATCGCTCAAGGGAACAGTTTTTTTTTTTTTTTTTTATCACCCACCCAAATCCTCCCAACCCAAACCTGACAAAAAATAAAAACAAAACATGCAAATCAGTTGACAATTTAAAAACAGCAGTTCATTATTCATCTTAAATATATAATAGTGTATTTTTTATTCTTGTTAATTAATCATATACTTAGTGTCTGCTTTAAAAAGTAGGCCGTGGAACTATACAGGCCCTCTGATTTTTCACAACATCGGCACTTGTTAAGAGTCTGGCTTTACAAAGAAAGGGGATTGGCACACTCATTGTACAGAATTTACATTTGGTATACTTAAGAAAAAAAAAAAGCATTACTTTCAATTTGTACACCACTACACAAACTTAACTGTTGGTTTAACAACAAAGAAAAAAAAAAGGAATTTAAAGTGGTCCACGTGTAAAGGTGTGTAAACCTTTAAAAAAAAAAACTGAACAAGAAGCAAAGATAGCTTTTATTAAAAATAATCACTGTGCATCCATTCCTCTGACCAGGATGGAGCTCAAGCTTAAGAAGTTGTGTACACACACACACACACACACACACACACACACACACACATATCCCAATAGTACCAACAATGCTTAAATGGACATCTACATAACAGACGTAAGCCCATTGCAGTGTTGTGGTCTCAAAGTGAGCAGCCCACCAATCAAAGGAGGGAAAAATAGTGAATGTAAACAACAGCAGAATCATCCACTTCTTTATCCCCTGACCAAAACAGGTCCTGTTCAGTACCTTTACTTGGTAAGCACTTTAATAATTACAATAATACTGAGGCTTCTGCTGGGAAAAAAAAAAAAAAGAAAGTTGCCTAATCTTTTAGGAAATATACAAACATGAAGCAGTGTTGGTTAAGGTACTAAAGCAGTAGTGATATCTTTTCTGATTGTTTGGCAACTTTTCTGGATTGGATTGTCAACAGAACCATTTCTAAAAAGTGTTTCAAAAGTGTTAAAGCAAATGAAGCAGCCATTTGTGCAAACGGGTTTAAAATAAGCAATCCAGCACATCTAATAGCTCTTATCACGGTGGTATAGTCACGTGGTCAAGCTTGAAAGCCTACGCTTTCATCTCGTCAGATTTGCATGAAAAACTGATCAAAATGAGGATAGGCCCCACAGAGCTTTAAGGTGGCAAGCTGCACTTTAGGAGAGCAGGATGCTTCTTGAAAGCAAGCGAGTTTGAAAACACCCAAAATCATTTTGTTATTCAACATAATGCAGCACATATTTTATTTAATTTTTATTCTTAATTTAAAAGCCTGCCAGGTCATTTTTTTATGTGAGAAATCGCCCACATTTGCATCATCCACAGAGTTAGCTTATGTATATAAAAAGACCTGGAGCCACACAACCAACTTTAAGCTGTGAAATCTAAAAAACAGAAAAAAGAAAGAAAAACTGCACAGAGGGTTTTCATTTTAAAGTTCCACACACCTGTCTAGAATTACCAGACAATACTTGGCCCAATTAATCAAAGTCTGTTTAAGTTATCTTGTTTTGATGTTAAATAGAAAGCAATAGTTACTAATCTTCAAGTTATTTAGTAAATGTGCTATATTAACCTTAATTTGGACACCAAAAGCCCTTTATTAGGTATTCTAATTTCCTTTGCCTGTAAGTTAATATAACAATTAAATTTCAATGTGAACATTTTCATTTTCTTTCCTAAGGATGTTAAGACTCTTAAATAAAAAAAGACTTTCTTCAAAACGTTAGTAAGCTGGGAAGTTAGCTGAAACATTTATGTTGAGTATTTTGCAACAGAAATTATGAAAAAAAAATCATTGTAACAAGCGCGCAAGTCAAATCTGACTGTTTGTAATAAGGGCTACAACTTAAAAAATTTTCTTGAATTTCTACCATTTACCGGTATATGATGATCCATTAGTTTTAGCCCTTCAAACAAGGACCCATCCAAAATCAAACTTGGAAACACTGCAGATGTAGAGGCAAATATAAACGTGGTAGAAAATAATAAGGTCCAGTAGACCATTGCAGAGTCCATCAAGATTACTGGATAGTACAATCCAACACCAAGGGCACCAAATGGACCTTGAGGAAACCTCCCATAAAGTCAAAATAAAACTCACATCTCAACTGTTGACAGAGTTCTTACAGGTTTATCACCCTCCCTCCTCTCTGAACCTACAGGCAACATCAGAAACAGGAGCATCAAACTTGATTCAGCTGCCTAAAACCTCCACCACACCTGGTCACCTTTAGCTTTGTCCTCTACAGTCATTTCAACTCAGCCAAATCTGCTAGGAGTAGCCCTTTTTGATGAAAAAGTTATGAAAACCCACCTGAATTACATCATGAGGACAAAAATAGCAATCATTCACCTTGAAGTATTTAGAAAGCTACCTGGTAAGACACACGATATGGGATTTGTACCAATAACCAAAGCATATACTTATAGATTTTCCCCAAAAAACTGCAAGAATCTTTAAACAGCAACTATTTAACCACAATTTTTTTTTTTGTGAAAGTTTTGATTTGCATAAAGCACAAACCTGACATGAAAAAAAAAAAACAAAAAAAGTTTTAATTCTTCCAATCAGCAATTACATTAAAAACCGATCCGCAAAAATTAAACATGGCGTATTATTAAAAAGATAGAACACTTGTCCTTAAAATAGTTTGGATAATTTACAGCAGTATAAAAAAATAAGGAAAAAAACTGAACTGAAATAATGTTTAAAATACTGAATCAACAGAACTCTGATCAATAAAAGAGACTCTGCTGATCACTGTGGATTTAATTTTTGCTGATGGTAAAAGAAAAAGCCTCATTAATGGACCAACAGAAGCTCAGAGTAGCAGCCAAAAAGCTCCACTTCACTGACAAAATACCTGTCTGAATCACCAATTGTTTAATGTGACTTTTTTTTTTTTTTTTTACATTTTTCAATGTAAAAAAAACATTTAAAAAAAAACACCTCCAGATAAGTAGAAGGACCGAGAAATGATTTAAGAGGAATAAGCTGCGACTTTTTCCTTTGCACTCCTATGAGTAGTCATCTCCCACACACAGACAACTAATAGCAGAAGTGATAGGCTCAAGAAGTTAACATTTCTAAATATATATATATATATATATAAAGTGAAGATACAATGTTTAGTTATCACTGTAAAACTGCGTGAGCAGAATCAAATCCTTATTTACATTCAATGGAGCTCATCTGCTCTGGTGGAGATCAGGGTGATTGAAGAGAAAAATACAAACTATTTAAGTTTTAAGTTCCACAGAACTAAGTACCTGACTGCACCTCAGCGTCACCTTGAAGGATTTTAGAATTCGTTATCCCTTGCAGATAAGCAGAGTCCAGTGATCTGCAGCCTTGTGTCATGAACTCATGCTGTAGTGTATAGCATGCATGAGAGAGCCCTTTGTCCACAAAGGCTAGTTCTACCCAGAGAAGGCCCTCCACCTACCTTTGACATAAAATAATATAGAAAAAAAAGTGAGGGCTGAGGACAAATAAATGTTCCATTTTAATGTGTTTCATTGGTGATGTTGCCAGCAGTTAGTAAAAACTACAAAATTGGAAAGAAAAAATTATTTCAAATGTCAACAAACCAAAAAAACTGCATGGAGAGAAGGAGCAACAGAGGATTGCGTTGGTCTGGTAAAGATTAAAGCAATGCTCGTCTCTTTGTGCAGCAGTGTGTTTTCATGCAGATGTGCGTCTCTGGAGGGGGAACTCCTGCACCAAGTGTTTCTTCAGAGGCTGGTGTCTCGGCCGAGGACCCTCGCTCTCACACCAAGTTGTATTCTTTGAGATTGAGCTGCAGGATGGTGTCTTTGACGGCTGCGAAGACGAAACGGATGTTCTCCGTGTCGGTGGCACATGTGAAATGGGAGTAGATTATCTTGTCACTGTCAGGATTCAAGTCTACAAACATCTTCAGGATGAACTCCCGACCTGCCTGAGCATCCCGCTGTGGACCTAGCAAAAACAAGAACCATCGCATAGTTATACTGTTCTGCAAACACTTTACAAACCAGAACTTTTAAAGGAGGACAGGCAGAAATGATGGACCATAGAGAGACTTAAGCAGAATAAAAATAGAATTTACAGGTAAAAACAAAAAATACTAATATTTAACTAAAATGAAAAAATCCAACGTAGGACAATGTTTGGCCATGTTCATCATTAACATTAACCTACAGTGTAATTTACTTAACAACCACATGGTGTCACTCAAAAATAAGAAAATACAAAAACAGTTTAAAGGTTTAAAACCATACAACATTTGTGCAATGATAATAAACGTTTATGTGAAATGATTCAATTACCGTCAAACTCTGGAAAATAATCAACCAGGTGAGAGTACATGATCTTCTCCTCCAACAGGTCCTTCTTGTTGAGGAACAGAATTACAGACGAGTTTTGGAACCAGGGATATGTGATGATGGTCCTGAACAGGGCTTTGCTCTCCTCCATACGGTTCTAACAGGGAGCACAGATGTGAAGAGAGAAACAGATGAGTTCAGAATAAAAAGAAAAACAACTAAACGCAATCACAGCAGTTTCTAATGTAAAGATAAGATGGTTGTGATACTGATTACCTACATCTTCTAAAGCTAATCCAGATATTTATTAAAAACTATATTTTTCCAGCAGCTTTATGGCACCAAATGATGTCGGCTTGTGTTAAAGATTAACTTTTTGCAGGAACCAGGTTAGTCCCACGTCATTATGAGGAGGTCATATGGAATATTATAACTATTGTGCTTCCCATTCTTGCTACCTCTGTAAATACATTCAGTTACTTACCCTGATGTCAGTACATGAAGAGGCCTCCATTATGATGGTCAATTTGTTGGTTGGGCCGAGCTAAACGTATAACTACACTGAATTGATTTGGTGCAAAGTTAATTGGACTCGTTTCAGGTGCTGTGAAAGCAGCTTATGGCAAAAATGTTTGTATTTTTTTTTATTTTTTTTTATCGTTCTGTACCTCTGTTAAAAATTCATCTACATTTTACCAGCCATCCGCTCTACCTTATATGCATTACATATCTGGATCTTTTTGGACACATCGCTTGTATGAATATTATAAAGACACCAGTTATATCAAACCTAAGTAGGGGTACAAGAAAAAGCTAACAATATTGGAAATGGTTTATTCCTTAATAAGTTGTCTATTAAATATTGAAATTAATATCTACCTGTGCACAATCATAAATGCAGGTTTCTTTGCAGATCAAAAGCTTTTCCTTAGATATTTATAAGCATTTTTAAATGTCTGATTAAACTAGAGACTCTGTCAAAAAACAATCCAATCCTAACAAATGTTTCACCTCATTGTCTGACTCGACCAGAACCTGGTCATACTCGCTGAGCGCCACCAGAAACATGATAGAGGTGACGTTCTCAAAGCAGTGGATCCATTTCCTCCTCTCTGACCTCTGACCTCCAACGTCCACCATCCTGACAGGAACAGGGCAGAAACAATCAAAATCAAAGCAATGCTTGGCAGCTAGAATTCATTATTACAGTAAATTCTTTGACAATTAAAAAGTAGATTTGGTTTACATTTAGAATCTCTTCTATAGCTATGCTCACATTTGAAATGAAGGAATCACATTTCCCCTTTAACAATTTGATATAATCATGCAGATTACTGTTAGCACACATTAAGTGCTTTATAAGAAAAGCAATGAAAGGATTCAGGGAAGGATTAGGGTCACATCAGGAAGGAGGGGTTGATTTATTTACTTAGAAATTTAAGAAAGAGAATTAAGCTTACTTTATACTAGCAATCATGTATTTGGGACAAAGCCTTGAGTTACCATCGCTGACTGATTGAAAAACATTCTCACATGAAATCTACAGATTCCAAAGCAAAAAAACAAGTTTTTATAGTCAAGACAAACAGAAAAAGTGCCAAAATCTGAGGTTTGAATTTCAATACATGGAGCAAAGCCTCCCTTGGTTGAAGCAAAGAAAAGGACATGTAAAATGCTAATAGAGAACCAGGCCCATGCAAGAAATTTCCCCTTTAGAAAAACTGATGGCAGCAAAAGCTGGAATAGTAACCACAAGTAACTTCAAATTTGCCAGTGCCCCATTGGAAAAATAGAAAAAGGAGTAACAAATTCACAGATTACCCATTTTATGAGATTTTTTTAATCATCATTAATTCTAATTTATTGCTTAGAGGATGCATCTGCATTTTTATGAATTGAAATATATCACTATGCCAATAAATACTAAAAATGTTCACCATAATGCCCCTCATATATGACCGCCTTTCGTGCCTCAACAGTCTATATAGTTCCATAGATGCTCGCATCTAAACCGAATTCAGAATGAAGAAAGCATTCCTGATGGAGTTGCTTGTCAACCAATAATAGCCATCTCAGTCAACGCAAAGCAGAGGTGGTTTGGACACATGTGGAGTCTGTTGAGGTGAAAACAACATGCATCAAACCTGTAGTGTAATTATCAGCAAGAATGCGACAATACATTATTATTCACTCAAATCTCGATGGAAGACTTTTCACCCACTAAAACTCAACTTGCTCTAATCCTTTTAAGCCCACGGCAAAAACTTGTTATTGAGAGTATTTAGTGATTCACTAACAGGCGGATGGTCAAGCACTGAAGAGCCTATCAGCTCGGCTGCAGAGAGGTTACTGGAAAGCTATTTAACGCAGCCATATAGCAAGTTATTTCTGGCCTTGTGGGAGGGGGTTGACATGATTGCTTCCAATTGATTCAGAGTTCTCTGTAATCCCTCTATTTCCCAGCGTCCATCTGTAACCAATTTTTCTTTTTTCTAAAGAAAGGAGGACGGGAAACTCTTCCCAAACAAAACCAACACAAATGCCTCTGCTGTATTTGAACGTTGAGTCATTCAGCTAAGAGACACTGCATGCACATACAGCATGCTGAAGAAATGTTTGCCTTTTTACAGATTTTCCATCTCCTTCTGCTACACCAAAAGGTTTTAGGTGAAACTCACTTTTCTATCACTAAACCATAAATCTGTTGAATAAAAAAAAGCAATTTCCCATTGAAAATTAACCAAAAAATGAACCCAAAGTAAAAAAAAAAAAAAAAAAAAAAAAAATAACCCTCTGTAAAATGCCAATAACCCCTGACCTTCATTTCTGGCAATTAGTCTGACTCCCAGAGGAAGTTTGGTGACTCTTTTTTGCCAGAAGAAAACTGGAGGGTTTGTGAATGTTTTAGAGATCAGCACAGCTGCTGTGCTTCCTGCAGAGCAGCTATTTGTTATAAGACTTAAATATAAGAATCTCAGCACAAATTTTTAGAAGGTGTCGTCATCATTATAAGAAAAAAAGAGAAAATGCAACTATATCCATGTGATCAACTGAAAGCTTTTCTGTGAAGCTTTGCGATCGCTGATGCACTGCAACTGCCTTGAAGAATTTCCAAAACCATAAAAATAAAAAGGGAGTACGATGGTCAAAAAGAACATAGGATGGAGGTTGTGTGAACATCCTCATTTAAAGCCTCTGTACCTGATTCTGCACAGTTTTGAACCATTAGAGAGGCAAATTGTGTAGTTTGGACTGTAAGCCCGGCCCCTAACCTGGTCCCATTGAGAAACTTTGCTCCCTCTCCATGTGCAGGTGATAAAGCACACATTAAAGTAATGAATAGACACCTGACTGGAAGGACTACAGCCAGTTTGGAGTCCAGATTCAGTCCAACGTGGACCACCAGTCTCTCCACCTTGGAACGGTCTGGTCTGTGATTTATACTAGCTTTGTTGATTATTTGGTCAATTTGTGGGGACTGTTGGCCTAGTGGTTAGAGCAGTGTGCCTGTGCTCTAAAAAGGTTTCAAGTACCTTGTTCGATCCCCATAGCCTCCACTCTGGGTCTCGAAGCAAGACCCTTAACCCCGTACTGCTCCCCAGGTACCGCACAATGGCAGCCCACTACTCCCCAAGGGGACGGGTTAAATGCGGTGAGTGAATTACTCCAATGTGAGATCAATACAGTTCAATTATTAATATTTTTGCATCTCTTCCTCTTTTTTGACTGTTTTAGGCTGTTTGGCAGTATATGCAGTGACAGCCAGCAGAGGTGTTGCAACCTTCCCTTTGTTGGCTGCCATGCTTCTGTTTCCAAACATACCATGTATGTGATTGAAGAAAACGCCCCTCATTGGGGAAACGCTCCTAGTGGCTGATTGGAAACAGGAAGCTATGGTGAATGCACACCATCGGCAGGGAAAACTGTCATGGCAAAGTAGGATGTCTAGACTAAAAACTGCCTGGACTCCCGCATAAGTACAATCAATGAGCAATTTCTTACCCACACAAAATACCATGATAAAAATTTCTGATTTTTATTTCTCCTGGTATAGATTAAGCTCAGCACCAGGCAACCAAAGTGGATAATGGACAGAATATTGAAACCTGAATGTTTTAATTCTACAGACTAAACCAAAGGAGCCACAATATTTCTGTAAAAGTGAAGCTGCTCATGGCTTAATTTAAATCTCAGTGGTTCTTCTGAAAAACATCCTGGTTAGTGGCAATGCTGCATCTTTACTTTTCTTCAACAAAAGTGTTTTCAAGTTACTCAGAAACTTAAAAAAAAGAGGTAGCTGTTAGAAGAAAGTAGCTTAATAGCACTAATTTAAAGTTTCACAGGCTAGGGGAAGCCCACAGCCAATCAGGCATAGGCCAGACCTAAGCTGTGTAAAAAACAAAATAAAAGTATAAATACTAAACTGATTTGAGTCACAGCCATGCCCTTCAGTATCAGGAGATCGATTTTAACTCCTTTCAAGACGAGGATAAAGCCATCATAGTTAAGTTTTGACTTGTATTAACAAAATATTTATTGTACGTAGTCCTACTAATTATTACCTAACAGAGCCAGTGTGCACAACATCTAAACCTTTTTCTTTTAGTGATCGTTTATGAATATTATTAATCAATTAACAACAATTTTAAACAAATTCTCCTTAAAATATAAAACTGATTACAAACTACATGAGGCGTATAATCAGACATAGGGGGTTCAATTCAAAAAGGACAAAATTAAATGTTACAACCTAATTTATTAGAGACTGAAGAAGAAATAAGGTGCAAACAGTGTTGCTCAAAGTGTTTTAAAGTTATTCTCTACCTGAAAATGATGCTTTGCAAGTCGAAAGGGTATTCTATGATCCCAGTGGTTGGGACTCGAACCCTAAGCACATCCTGTTGGGTTGGTAGATAGGACGCTTCAGAAATACGACCAAGATCACTTAAATAGCTAGAGACAGAAAGGGAGAAACACAAAAAGAGAAAAGAAATAGAAAGTAAAGCATCACAGCAGATAAAACACCTTCAGCAAGTGCAGATGTACCCACAGAGTATGAAAGGTTTCCGCTTCCCCTCAAATATTCTTAGAAATACAGGTTCATCCTTGATGGCTGCTCCAAAAGACCAAAAATAAATACTTAGCAGAGAAAATTCATTAACTTTACGAAGCTTTCTAGGGCCTCTAGGGCCCATTGTTGAGCTGTTTTAGCTGATCTTATGTAAATCTTTATAAGCAGTCTTTAAGAGCACACCATCAGGGTAATGTTACAGCCCAGAGCATGCCTCATGCTGCGCAGGGAACACGGAGACAGACGTAGACTTTCCCATTAGTTGAAAGGCTGATTTACAGTTTGCCAGCTTGGACATCATTATCTGTTGCAGCAGCAGCAGCACTTGGAACCAGTACCTGAAGAGAATATTCTCCAGGTCAAATGGGTACTCATGGATGCCAGTGGTGGGCACTCGAGCCCGCAGCACGTCTTGCTGGGTGGGCAAATACCCTGACGATCCTATTCGTTCTAAACTGCTAAGGTAACTGTGAGAAGGGAGGGAACATACTGTATGAAAGAGATGCACATGCAGACAAACTAATCCGTGTCGACATTCCAGGCTGATCCAGCTGACTATACCAACAACTGCTTTTATCAAAACGGACATATTGCATATTAACTTTCAATAATATTAGAATTCATAAATGAACCAGAAGAGTGGTTCTCAATCCTGGTCCTGCATGCTTTAGGCGTATCCTTGATGCCACACACCTGGTTTAAATGAATAAGGCACCTGCAGCACTTGGTAGCTGCTGTGGAGCCTTTGCAATCATTTGAATCAGGTGTGCTACCAGAGCGATATCCTTTAGGAGCAGGACAGAGATCCACTGAACTAAATTAACGGTTAAATCAAGCAGCTGCAGTTCTCCATCTGCCATAAATCCTTTCCCTCCTACTAGATCTTTCTTAAAATGCTCTAAAAGTCAAACAACAAAAACAAATATGTCCTTATGGACGTACTATTTGGTCGAGTCAGAGAGTTGGTACTCTCTCCTGCGATCGTAAGCCTCCTGAATCCCAGGGTCGGTCCAAAGCATTTTGATCGCACTGATGTATGGCTCTTCAAATGTCGACACCTTTTCCACGTCCACTTCACGCACCAGCTGGGCATTATTCTGGAAAAAAGGTCAAAAACAAAATGTAAATAAAAAGAGAGTTGTGTTTATCTCCAGTTATGGAGATGTGCAGTGATCTTTTAGCTGTTTTGCTTTAATAAGGATTTTCTTGGCTTCAAAGAGGTAAAGTAATGTAAACTATAATAAACCTCAAAAATTTAAAAAAAAGAATACTTTATTGTTAAGCAATCTGTTCATAGATCAATACGAGTACTTTTTAAAACATTTTTTTTATAAACTATTCATTCTCATCCATCTGAAATCAATCTTGCAGAATGCCAAAGTTGTATGGTAGCAGGATGCTTTGGGAAACAGTTTTGAAACTTGAAAAAAATTAATCCAAGTTGCAAATAATAAAATGTCCACTCCTTTTTCCTCCACTAGATTTTCAGATACTCATCTAAAATGGCGTAACCACTTTATAGTGCCCTATATAGTGATTAGGGGGGACATTCGGACGCAGCCATTGACTGATCTCAGCATTTAATAATCGTTTAGACTGAACCTCCAGTTAGGAAACTCCTTGGTGATTGTTATAGATAATACATGGAGTGTCAGTCTGTAGTAAAAAATAAAAATATATGGGGAAAAAAAATAAAGTAGCTACAACAAGACTACAGATCCTAAGTCCAATTTATGCAGTTGCACAAAACTGATCAGTCTTAAAATACTTCTGACCTTGTTCTCTTCATACTTCAAGGGAATCTTGAGGGTCTCCGTTGCACGGATCATTGCCTGCATGGAGGTGAAGATGTTCTGATAGACCAGCTTTGTGTAGCTCCTTTTATCTTCATCTGTGTAGCCTGTCCCATGGATTATCCTCATCTGTTTGATGAAAGTGCTCTTGCCACTTTCTCCTGTCCCTAAAAAAACAAGGCATGGACCATCAATCAACTGGAGAATAAAAACAGAACAGTGATTTGACTTTCAACATTTCAACATACATTCAGAGACCAAGAAACACAGCAATGTTATAGTACAGTGAAATGTTTGGTTACAACTACAAATATTTCTTAAGGATGTGGGTCCAGTTTTATTGCACACAACTGGGAGAGGAAATAAGCATCTATACGATGAGATCTGTTAAAATAATTCAGCTCATTAAGAGGTCCTATGTTGTTACCAATAGAGAACAAAGCTAATACTTCTTAGAAATTTTTACTTGTTCTTTACAGTAAAACAAGTATTTCTATGGAGACAAGATTATTCATAAATATAATTATCCATTTCCAAAATCTTTTTTTTTCTCCAAATCAAACTGATGCGTGTTGATAAATGGTCTGTTTTTGGAACAAGCTGACCTCTGTCTGTCCACCCACACCTCTGAGCTGCTGATGGATAAGACTGAAGAAATCTGCACCAGTGTGGCTCTGATCCAACATTCGTTGCAAATACAGGTTTAAATTCTGTCGTCACTGAGAACCCAGAGATTTACCACCTTTATTTTGCACACAAAGATTAAACAAATGC